GCGGCTGCAGCTGCCGCCGGCATCTCGGGGGCTCCAGGCTGCCGGGCGGACGCAGCGCCGAACGATCCACAGCCGAACCGCGCGAGGCCGCCCGAGCCCCGGCCCCGAACCCTGAGACCCGAGCGAGAGCAGCCGCGGCCGCCGCCTCGCGCCCCCGGGTCCCTGGACACGCCGCCGCCGCCAGGAAGGCAGCCGGCGCCCAGCAAGTTGCGAGCGCGCCTCTCCGCCCGGGGAAAGTTTCCCTCGCGGCCGCTGGCAGGAGTTGGCGCGGGGTCCAGCCGCTGGCTCTGGAAGGTAGGGGGCTCGGCACCTCCGTGCTCTCCGTGCGTCCGGCCGCTACGCCCCCGGGGACTTGGAGACTCCACGCGCGCCCCCCCTGGGAGACTGTTGGGCACGGTGGGGGTTGGGAATGGAATTGGGGGGGATCCCAGGATGGTCCCGGGGAAGCCCTGGAACCAAGTTCTACTTAAACTAGCATGGGGAGGGTCAGGGAGATGTTCTCGTCCCCGATACCTGCCCCTAATCCGCTGAGGACCGCGGGCTGCCCCCCGGACAGGTGCAGCGCCAGTCGGCGTTGAGCGCTCTGGGTGGGTGAGTGTGGGGGGCCAGGAGAATGGCGGGGGTGGCAGGTGTGGTCACAAGGTTCGGGGTCTCGGCGAAGGCTGCTTCCTGAGGGAGGGGTGCGCGCTTCGCCACTCTGTAGGAAGGCGGGTAGGGACCAGGGATTAGGAGCGACGACCTGGCCCGGGAGGGTTTCTGGGCCCAGCCGGGCGCTGAGGGCGTGCTGTCTTCGGGGTCCCTGGCAGCGGGGCGGGGTGGGAGCGCCACGCTTTCCTCCGGGGCACCCCCCTGACTCCCTACAGGGTGTGTGCGGTTCGGGGAAGCAGTGATTCCGTAGGGTGCTCGGTGGATCCGAGGGTCGGGCATGTCCAGATTTAGGGGGTGTAGTGGGAGTCCGCTTGGAGGGTTGGCGGGTTAGCGTATGGCTTCGCGCGGGCTTTGGGACCTGGCTGGCTTGAAGTGAGTTGGCTACCGCCAGGGGGCGCCCTTCCCTGGCCCTTTCACCCACAGGAACGCGCGAGTCCTGGTTCCTGCGACAAACGCATTGAAAATCCAGGACAGGCAACCACAGACCCTCCAACCCACGCCGCCGGGGCCTCTCCCAGAGGAGCACCCGGCTCCACAGCCGGACTGGGGGAGAGGAAACGAGTATGAGGCTCGGTGCCTCAGTTGTAACTGCACTGTGTGCTGGAAAGCTTGGCTCTCAGGAGGTGGTTTTTCTTGGGGGACTGGCAGGATCTATGGTTGAATACAAAACTCACCCCCAGAAAAGCAAACGAGAGAAACTGTACACTAGCAGCAAATTTGTGTGGAGAAAATGGATGGGAGAATTAACTTTTCGAGGAGTCTTTGGAGTTTGAAACCCTAACCCCTGAATGCACTCTTTGTGTAAAAGTTGTACCTTTGTTCCCTGGATCAGGCCAGATCCCTACCTGCTGTGGCCCAATGAGGGTCTTGGAGCTTATCAGATCCCCTTTTATCCTTCCTCTCTCTGGGCACAGATAAACTGGGAGGTGCAGGGTGGGGATGATGGGAGCCGTTAAAGACTTGAGCAGTCTAGGCTCAAATGGTAAATTGCTCAGTCAACAGGAGCCCCCTGCCCCCAATAGGCCACATTCATCTGGTCTGGTGGAAACCTGCTGTGTGTCTGCCCTATTGTCTGACCTCGGGGGCCCTGTGTGTTGAGTCTTCGTGTCCCTGCCAAAGCCTCGGGAAGCAACGTGGCTGCTGGCATCTGTGAAGAGCGTCATCTTTGTCATGTGTAGGGCTGTTTGACACTAAACGGACCCTCGCCTCGTTTTTTCTTTCCAATTTCCTCCCTCCTCCCTGCACCCCAAGTGAGTACAAATGAGCAAATCAAAGATGGTGCAATGGCCTCATAATGGCTGGGGAAGTTTTCATCTTTCTCTTGGCTTGAAACTGTGTGCTTTTTGGGTCAGTCCCCCCTCCAGTGTCCCCTGAGCCCCCCGCAAAGGTGATGGAAATGGGGAGGACCCTGAAAGAAAGTTAAGGTCCTTGCTTTCAATGTACCCCACCTACTATTTTTGTTGGGTGCTATCAACATGCTCCAGGACTGAGTTGTCCCGAAGGAAGATCAGCATGATTTTTCTGTTGAGTAGAAGAGGAGGGGGACCCAGGAGACAGAGGAAAGGGTGGAGGAGCTGGTCTCTGGATGTGCCTTAAGACATTCCATGGGGCTAGAAAACAAAAGGATTTTTTGTTTTGTTTTTAGCCACTCTTGTTTTTCTGTGGAGGGAAGCCTGCCAGGAACAGCCCTGCCCTTGGGACCTGGGTGTAAGCTCGAGGCCCAAGGCCTGAGCCCCAAGGACTGGCAGCTTCTGTGTTCCACTCATTCTTTCTGCACCCTGCTCCCCCCTCCCCCCATACACAATGTACCCTGAAGAGAAGAGGGAACTGAGACCCCAGGGCTGCTGACATCCACATTTGGACTTAGCATATCATGTGTGAACTCAAAGTGCTCCCAGGCACTTTGCTGATCTCTGATTCAGCAACATTTCAAGTCTTGGTCACTCTGGTGTCCTTGTTGCCCTGTCCCCCAAATCCATTTAAATGGCTGACCCTCAGGGTATCTTTACCCAAACTGAGGCTGAAATAGCAGTGCATCAGTGATTCTAGGGCACTTTCTAGGAGCCAGAGTTCATTTGGAGTTGGAGTTAGAACATCTTGGGTTGATCCCCAAAGCACCCACCCGCTATAAAAAAATTCCATGTCAGCTGGGAAATAGCTCCTTGAATTACTAAATGAGGTTGTAACGGTCTGAGGGGGGCGGGGGGGCTGGAGAACAAGGTGCTGGGCAGGGACAGGTGTGCAAGGGGGTGTCGAGGCAAGGGCTTACAGTAGGGATTTGTGGGAGGGGGTCAGAAAGGGAGGAAACAGCAGATTCAAATCCAGCTCTCAGGGATCGTCGTTGCGGCCTTGGGCAAGTCACTTCCCCTCTTGAACCTACTTTCCCAGTCTGTGAAATGAGGGTCCTGGCCCAGGAGATTCTGAGGGGCTTTGCAACTTAGGAGAGCCTAACGGTTCAGGATGCTAGGCATCCCTGCTCTGCCTTTGGTCCAGTGGAGGGCACCTTTCTCGGCTGTCTTGCCCCGCCCTGCCCCACACCTGCTTAGCAAACCAGGCTCCTGGCCTCCGTCAGATTGTGGTTTGGGGGTAGAGAGGGTAATGTCGGTGCCCCCTGGGAGCCCCATATCTGTCTGCAGGCTCGCACTTTGCCTTTCTCCCAATGCATGTCCTGCTTCACTCTCTCCCTTTCCCTGGGAAGAGCAAATGTTGGTGGCTGGGCCGCCCCTTTTAGGGTCCCCTCTTTCCAGAGGGCTGCTCTTTTGGCCTATTTAATCAGCTGCTGAGAAGAAAATCAGGGACATTTGTTCATGCTCCTCTGGGACACAGCAAAGGGAGGGGTCTTGGAAACCAGCACTTTGGCCCCTCCCCAGGAGCAGATGATGGGCTGAGCCGGGTATTGCTGCAACTTGATGCCACTGAGCAAACCTGCCAGCTTGGGCTCCTCCTGCCGCACAGGCTGGCACCTTGGACCTGCATCAGCGCTCTGCTGGAGGGCGGGGGAGCAGATAATGAAACACTTATTAAAATCAAAGAGAGCGAGATGATGAGCACCAGTGTTTGCAGCTGGCAAAGCAGGTCTTTCATCTCGGCACTTATCTTAAAGTCCAACCCTTACCCCTTGTCTGCACCCCAGATTGGTGCTTTAATTAGTGATTCAAACTACTTGGAAATGAGCAGAAACATGTTCGCTGTCATGTGCGTGTGTGCGTGTGTGCATGTGTGTGTGTGTGTGTTCTGTGTGTACATACTAAGACACACCAAGATAGCATGGAAGGGTTCCTGAATCGGGAGTTAGGAGACTTGTGTTCTAGCCCTTGATTCTGTTACAAATGGAGCTGTGTGACCTCGAGCGAGCCGCTACCCCTCTCTGAGCTTCAGTTTCCCTATTTCTTTAGAGGCAGCTTTATGTGGTGGTTAGGCTGCTCAGGTTTGAATGCTGGCTTTCTCCTATTTATTAGCTGTGTGACCCTAGGCCATTCAACCTCAGTTTCCTGATCTGTAAAACGGGTCTGATAATACCTCATTGGATTGTTGTGACCAGTCATCCAGATGAAACATATAAAGCACTTAGCACAGGGTCTGGTACTGAAAATACCTAGTAGATAGTCACTGTCTTCATTGTTATTATTGTCCTTGTTACTGTTATGGTGAAATGGGGGAGATCAACTTTGACCCTTTCCAGCTCTGATCTTCTGAGGCGTGGTACAGTGTGTGTGTGTGTGTGTGTGTGTGTGTGTGTGTGTGTGTCTGCGTTAGGGATAGAAGACAAGGGCACACGAAATAAATGGCTTTTTTTGTTTTCTTTCTTCCTTTCCCTGCCTCACCGAGGGACTCCTGAGTTAAAATCTTGTGAGTATTCTCACGCTAGCCCTGTCCCCGTGGCAGGAAGCCCAATTTGACGTCACTGAAAATATCCTGGTTTCTGGCACTTGAGGGATGATATTTCATCAGCTCGTATTTGCCCATCCTTTCTCTTCCACCCTTTGTTTCCCACCCTGAACCAGAGTACGAAGACCATATGTGCAGATAATGAATTTAGGCTGATACGCAACTCTCAGATTCACCCAAATAAAAGGCCATCTTCCTGGAAGACACTTTCGACTTCAAAATAAATAATCTGGCTCCCCTGCTACATTGCATTATATCTGGCCGGCCCTGCTTTCCTCTGTGTTGTGCTCCTGAGTCTGTTGCAGGGACGTGGGCTGGGCCAGGTCTGTGGTCTAAGGCTCTGGGTTCTATTAGCCGTCTTGGCTGGGGCAGCCTTTCCCGGCTGTACGTCTGCCTCATCCCCCTCTGGAGAGGCTGGTGCTCTGAGCCAGCCCAGTGATGGTCTTTATGGTGGCAGACACTTTGAGAGTGCTCACCATCAGCCTGGAGCTAGCCAACTCTTTCTCTCCCCTCCACCCTCAAGGTTGGTTCAGATGCTGTCCCCATTTTACAGATTGGAAAAGAAGGCTCAGAAACATCAAGAGAGTAGGTGGTGGCACTGGGATGTGATCCTAGGTTGATCTGATTCCCCATCCTGTGTTCTAAACCACTATGTAATCTTTCCTCTTGTTTCAAAACCTCCTGTGAGCCCCAAAGCCCCAGGGAAGATATCCCTGAGATTCAATCAGGCCCCTCCCTCCCTGCTTTTGATCATTTTC